CTAAAATATTCAAAGTGGAAACCCTATGATGCAGCTTTCCACTTCTCCATGTTTACTCTAGAGAAAGTAACACATAAACAAAGTGGCAGGTACATTCTCTGCAAAACTCTTGGCTAAAAATGAAATATTGCAAATGATCTAATTGTCCTTCTATGTAGTAAATACCTATATATCAATGATATCCACACTATACATATCAAACACAGAAATTAAAAATTTGGTATAGCCACCTACACTGATTTGGAAAGATCTCCAAGACTAGGGAGTGAAAAAAGTTATGGGATGATGTTAAAATAAAAATCATTATAGGACTGGCTGATTAGCTCAGTTGGTTAGAGTGCAGTGCTACAACCCAAAGTCAAGGGCTCAGATCCCTGTACTGGCCAGCTGCCAAAAACCAAAAAACCCTACATCATATATTTCCTAAAAGTGCATATAATTATGCTTATATAAATTGTTGGGGGTGGGGGAGAATAAACACCAAACCAGTAGCAGTGATTACCTCTGGAAAGTGGAGAAGGGCAAGAAGGGAAAGGGACTGGGGACAGTCAAGGCAGACTTGCACCTTATTTTATGTATAAGAAAATGTTATGTTTCTTATGTTTAAGAGAATACCAACTTAAACTATATTTATGTATTACTTGAATAATTAAAAATCAAGGCATTAAAAACCTTAAACTTTCTCTCTGGCCAAGATATTTAGACTGGATTTATTCTGAGACAACTAAAATACAACAAAACATATAAAAAAAAGTCATTTTCAATGTTAGGCAAAGAAGGCCAGTGATCCCTGAAAGACAGGGAACTACTGACCCAGCTTACTGCTTTGAATTTCTAAATCATGAGGCAGGGAAGGGGAATCCAGGCAGAGCCCAGTGGACTTCCTGAGTTGAAATGAAGCTGAAAGTCATGGGAGATGAAGGAAGCTGGAGTTTCCACAGCAAAGGACCAGAGAGGAGAGAGCTTCATTCAGACAATTCCAGAAATCTGCAGAGGGCGCCCCTTGAGTATTCAGCAACATACCGATCAGCACATGTAAGGAAACTACCCAAGGCTGGAGAAAGGTTCAGAGGAAACAGCACCTGGAGCTCACACAATGCTAGGAATAGAACAGGCTCTATTCTACTAGCCCACACTAGAAAGCCTCCTAATTGACGGGGCACAGATAAAATTTATAATATTTAGCATCCAATATAAAAATTACCAAGCATGCAAAGAAACAGGAAAATATGACCCATAATGAGCACAAAAATCAACCAACAGACACTGACTCAGATGTCAGAAATAGCAGACATGGGCATTAAAAATTGTTACTCTAACATGTTAAAAAAAAAAACTGAAAAATGATCGACTATGTAGAGATATGAAAGATATCAACAGACCCAAACTGAACTTCTATAAATGAAGACTATAACATGAGATGAAAACACACTGGGTGAGATTAACAATAGAACAGGCATAGGAAAAAGATTAGTGAAATTAGAGACAGTAATAACGCTTTAAAATGGAATAGAAAGATTTAAAAAACAAAAACAGTGCATCAGTGAGCTGTAGGTCAACTTCTAACAGCTTCTGTGTAAATGGATTCACCAACACAGCGAAGGGGAAGAACAGAAAAAATACTCTTTGAAGAGATAATAGCTGGAAAACTTCCAACTTTGACGAAAACTATAGATCCAGGCAGCCCAATGAACCCCAAGCACAGGAAACAAAACTACACAGCACATCATTATCAATTTGCTCTAAACCATTAATAAAGAGAAAAACCTTAAAAGCAGCAGGAAAAGAGCGAAACATGTACAGAAGAACAGAAGATAGACAGCGGAGGACAGCATAGGACACAACGCAAGTGAGATGACAACAGACCAAAATCCTTATAGCGAAAGCAAAAAAAATGTCAATTTAGTATTCTATGTCCAATGAAAATCTTTCAAAAACAAAGACAGTTTATACCAATCATGTGTAAGGGACACAAATGGAAAATGGCGTTTGCATTTCAATCAAAATACAAATTAGAAAAAAAAAAAAAAAGGCAGACACAAAAACTGAAATAATTCATCAATAGCTGTACTGGCAGTAAATCTTCATAATTAGAAATGTTAAAGGAAAGTGTTACAATGGTGCCCTATACCAGTAGCAACAAGTATCCGCATGTAATTAACAGCATAGGAAATATCTACATGGGTAAATACACAGGACTTCATCACCTAAAAACCCTATTTTGAACCCCTTTCTTTCAAAGTAACAATTTATCTCCAACAATGTTTTAAGGAATCATTAAATTTGGCACAAAGTTTTACATAATTCTTACTAAACTTGACCAAATATAAGGCTAGTATGAAACCAAAAGTTCACGATTTCTAAGGCAAATTATTGTCTACACTTAAAGATTTTAAGGCTTGTAGGGGAGTATCTAATTCTCTCCTTAGTCCAAGTCCAGTGATTATATAGAATTTAATTTTGTCCACGACATGAACCAAAAGAACCAGGTTGCACATGCCAGCATGTAGCTTGGTAATATTTATACTGAGTACTCTAAAGAGAAGCCCAGTTTTACTTTACATGCAACCTGAAAAAGGCAGAAAGTCACAAGCTTTCAGTTTCCAACTATCATTCCTAAGGCTCTGTTATCCACTGATGAATATATACCTTAGTTACTATCTGCTGGTTTAGAGAAATAAAAATTGAGTAGACAACCCACCCCCAAATAGACTGATAAGCATTAAATTTTATAATCAAAATGCAACAACACATTTCAATCAATAAAAGAGAATGATTCAATAAACATGTAGATTTATTTTAAATCAGTTTGGTACATGATACAGATTGGTTTTGCAGTTTGTAATAAAATGAAATAGAAATTTCTAAATACAGCAGTGTCTGCCTGTGCAACAAATATTTGTAAGGTAAAATAAGATATTTGATAGAACTATATCTGCAGGAACAAATCAGATGAAAAATCTGAAACGGTTTCTATATACCTTCTGGATTAAAAAAACCCAAAAATTATTAATGGCTCAAGATACTACATTACTTAAGGGGGAACAGTTTGAAAAGGCTGTGAGTTCTGTTGCAAGAGCTCGTCTGTAGACTTGCAAAATCTAATTTCATATTATGCTTCTGTTAGAGCAGTGCTCAAAATTACAGAAGCTTCAAATCAAGTTACACTTTCACAGAATTTGCTACATGTGTTGACATTAATGTGTGGCAAGGAATTCACATCCAGGCAAATGACAATTATATTGCTGTAGCTAATTTTTGCCACCTGGGGAGGAATGGAAATTCTGTATGTTTTCAGATTAATCTCATATCACTCACTAAAAACTAACAGCCATGGCACCATAATAAATTTTGTGAGGTACCTAGAATATTACTACTAGTGAAAACACAAATGTGAGGTAAACCTACCTTTTCCCAAAAACCTTTGAAGCCAGAGATTTTAAACAATTAAGGCACTTGAAAACATTAGGTGTACGTACAAATGTGAGTAAAACAAATTTTAACTGTACCAGCAAGTAACAAAGGAACAGTAATCTTCATCTTAAGAAACTTTAATAAAATTATCTAAATAAGTGAAAGGAGTTTCAGTTTATGAAACAAACCAAAGCAATTTGTCATTTCCTAATATAAAATATTGAAAACCAAGTGCTAAACTCAGCCACTATAGGCTAAAAAACTACAACAAAAAAACCCTTAATGACCTAGAAAAGCAAAAGCCCATTTTAAACTAAGTAAAGCCTCTGAACTAACCAATATGTCAAAGGCAAGGGAGAAGCCTCTACAGCTGGAAAAAATAGTGCTTTGCAAGAAAACTATAAAAATAAAAGTACGCATGCTTATCATACTATGGGAATTTAAACCAAGAAGGAAGGGAGGGATAGAAAGAGAGAAAGCAAGAGAGAAAACGCAGTCTATTCACCCAGGGCAATCATCATTAAAAATCTGCAGCAATCTGATCAACCAAAAATCCTCTAAGATTACCTTGGTCACATTTGCTGTCTATAAACTTAAAATGATTGTCTCATTTAAAGAGTTAGTAAATGATTCTAAAACAACTTATATCCTTCTTGCCTCATGAAATTATTTTTCAAGAAAACTTGGTGGAAATTCTTTCGAAGTATAATAGTGTTAGGACACTTTTTTGAAGTACAAAGGAAAATATAATTAAATCAACTT